CATACATGAAAGGCATGGCTCTTTGAAGAATAGTTTACAACGTGACATTAGAAGAAATATTACAATGGGAAATGCCAAACTATCAAAACAGGAGTAGTTTAATTATTTGTTTTTAGGAAACTGAGGTTCACTCATGAACCTCCAGCCAAGGTGATTTGTAGGAATGCAATCTCCATGCATTAGAGTAATGTAGACTTGTGCTTAAATCTCAGTTTGGTGCCTTTCCTCAGCTTGATTGGAATTGGCAATTTCTCATGTGTTAACTATTAACAAGAACAATAAAATTGACTCTATAAAGCCACTGAAGTATTAAATGAGATGCTCAAATTGTTATAGCTGCTTAATTATAAAAAGGATAGCATGGTTACCTTTACATTGGAATTGGTACCTTTACATTGGAATTGAGTCATAGGATAATTTGCTACTCAGGTTTCCAGGGTACATTAAGACATGGAGCACCATTGGCATTGACTTTAAACTTGGATTTGGGAAGCTGGAACTTTATTGTTTATTCTGTTCGGAATTATCTGTGTCCCCATGGAGGCCCATGCTTGAAGAGTAAATAAATCCTTTGCCACAGATGTCTTCAGAAATTTAAGCATCAGAAAACTAGAATCAGCATTCTGGGCTATCAGGCCTAGGCTTCTGTTCTCTCGAGTTTGTGAACAGAAGTGATGAGAGTCCAGGATACTTCAAGGTCCTTATTAAGATGTTTCTCTAAGGACATGTCTAGTCAAAGCTTTAGACGTACACAGAGCTGGTAAAGAGCCCTAGATAATAGTGGGAGTGACAGACCTTCCGGCCAGAGCTGACTCCAGGATAATGCCCATGCTCAGCTCCTTTGATCTGAACCTTAGCTGAGTCATCTTGTTTCACAAGGCATTCCTGGAGAGAGTATTCTTGGTATCAGGCTAAGAATAGCATCTTGGCTGAGGAATGGGAATAGAAATAGACTTCTTGATGTCTCTCACTTGCCCAGTGGACACTAATTCAAAAGAATAGGTGGCTCCTAATGCTTCCTGTCTGCCACAAAAGTGGTAAGAGACACAGAGACAGAAAATGTGATATGGCCATGCAGGTCTTGAAGGCATTGAAAAAGCATTGGAAAGCCATCCACATTTACAGGGAAAGGGATTTTATTTGGAAAGGAAATCCCGCTGGTCACATCAATAGAGATAATACTTGGTTCTAATTAACTCAGAAAACAAAAGATGTCCTAAATATGCAAGCACTTTATTAAAAAGGTTTTTTGCAAGATGAATTTGGTGAACTAAATCAACTAAATTTTAGGGACTCTATACAGAAGTAGATCCTAATGACTGGAATGCTTAAAAGGTGTGTGCAGGACATTTTCTGCCCATTAGGAAGAACTTGGGAAGCTGATTTAGTCACCAGAAGGCTAGTTTTTGAGCATGCTATTTGGTGTAAAATAAGTATGTCAAAATCAGTGTACCTAGTCTACTGTTCCCTGAAAAGAAGCTGTCTCTCCAGGTCCCAAGCACATACAACGTCTGTGTCTCCTTTCCCTGGACAGTCCTAGACCCTGATCCTGTTTCCCCAGCCCATCTGCTTTCTTTGTCCCTCCACTGTGGTCTTAGGATAATAGACCTTTTTATATATGTGCCTGTGCCACAGCCCAGTGTGATTCTAGATTCATTGTAGGAAATGTTTCTGTCTGGCTGTGGTAAGTTTACATGTAAGGTAGTCCATTGGCTTTGCTTTGGATGATGAGCACTGCAGCTCACAGGGGTATTGACTGCAGTTTCATAGACATATTAAGACTTAGTGCTTGGTACTGTAATGGTATCACACTGAAGAGCCTTAAGACTTCATCTTCATACGGGATCAGCATGTCCTACAAATGACAGTTTTATCCAGGCTCACTTCTGTCTGTAAAGATGGATGTTACAGTCTCGAGGGCCCGGGGTTTGTAATCTGTATGTAGTGTTATAATAACTTCACAGTGAAAGGAGCTTTCTCAACTTGTTTTCACTTTGGTTCCCACTAGTGCGGTCTAGGACAGTCTCTTAATTTATCTGGGTCTCAGTTAACACCTCAGAAAGAAACCAGATACAATAAGTATTTTCAAACCTTTTAACAGCTTTTAGTTCTAGTGTAAATAAATTTACTAATAATAAATATAGCAGGCATGAAAAAGAATTCTGTCCATCCCTAGTTTTCACATGGTTAGAGGGAATACAGTATATTAACTTTCACAGAAGCCCAGAATCGTAGAACTTTTTTTTTTTTAAATATTTTTTTCGAACCAGGGTTTCTCTGTATAGCTTTGGAGCCTTTCCTGGAACTTGAGCTATAGAGCAAGCTGGCCTTGAGTCCAGAGAAATCTACCTGCCTCCGTCTCCCCAGTGCTAGGATTAAAGGCGTGTGCCACCACTGCCCGGCTAATCTTAGTACTTTTTAATACAGGTGTTTATAGATTTTTTTTTTCATATCTATCTCAGCAACCACAGAGCAGTTTAGTGGCTTCCATTTCAGACTGAGCATTGATTGTAAATGTGTTACATGTCTTATTGGTGGGCGAGGTTGATTGGATCACCTTTGATCAGGGACATGACTGTTTGTGACAGTGGAGGATGGGGAAAAAATTAAAAACCAACCACAGAGTCACACAAGATGCTTGCGTACAGATGAGGCATCGTGTGTCTGCTTCTGTCCCATTGCTGAAGCATTTTAAGACTAAGACTCACCAATGAGCTAGGAGAACTGGCTTTTCTCCTCCTCCCCCGGTATTGGTAAGTTGACAAGATAATATTCAAACAGTCCACCATACCCGTAGGAACTCAGGTTGTCTCTGTTGTCAGAATTTTGGCAATGACATGAGGAAATTTAAAAATCCTCTGTATAGTCTTTGCTCTGCCCTCGTCACAGAGTCAGTTTCCCTTTTAAGAAGAAAAGGGTGTTGGTATTTTTTAGTCAGCCTAGAGGAGTTTTGGTGACCTGTCAAATGAAGAGTATAGTACATGACAGAATATGGTCCTAATTCCCTCTTAGATTTCTTGTACAAGTTACTGTGGGAAATCCATTGGTTTTAGGTCAGTGTCTGAGAAAAGTAATGGCAGAGCAGGTGGCGTTGGGAAAGTGGTTTCATCCAGATCTTGAGGTGTAATTGTGTTCCTTAGTATACGTTTCAAGCCACCTCAAGCCAGTTTCTCTGGGGTTGTTTCTCTGTGATGATGCGCTTGGTTGATGTGCTTGGTGATGGTTACCGGATGTTTTCTAAGATGAAAGAGAGCAACTGTTAAGTTTAAAGAAGCTTAAGCGTTTTACTGAAACCACAGCCTTCTATATTTGGAAAGGATTGTATTGGGTGCAAAATAGTCACCTGATGACAGGAAGGCCATGCACAGTGGTGGTGTCGTGTGTGCAGGCTCTGGGAATAGAAAGCACAACTGTAATTTGTAATTAGTAAATCAGGAGAAGGTGGTTGAAAGGTTTTCTGTTCTGCTTTGATTGGAGGGAAATGTTTAAAGTGACTGAATTCTTATATTAAGAATACTGCCGAATACTGATGTTATTGAATATTCATTTTACATTTATCTATTCAACTTACTGTGCACCTATCATGTACCAGATTTTTTAGTAAGCACTAAATAAAAGACAAGAGAGAATTAGGTAATACAGTGAACTTGTGTCGTGAAATGCAGAAGGCCTCTTCCTCCTGCACTGCACCCTCAGAGTGTGTGTCTCAGATACCTGTCCGTGGCCACTTTCTCTCTTTTCCAGAGGTTTCTGCTGTGATAACTCCACTTCTCACCTCAGCCAGTGTAGCCAATTCCAGAGCTGTAGCATCGGCAGTAGTTTGTGGTCCCTAAGACCTCCATGAGGTTCCGAGTACATCCTTGGCAGAAGTGCAGTAGCATCCCATTCCCCTCTTAGATTTGTTCTTTCATCCCCCAATTCTGTTGAGGTCCGTCGTCATTACTGCCCCTGTCTGCTAGCACTACAATCTCTCGTTGACCGAACTACTTGATGATTTCAGACATCTCATCTGCAGCTGAGTACTGGAGATTATACTATATTTTTTTTTCTGTTCCCTCTCCTCCACTCATTTCCCTTCCCTTAACCAACTCCAGAGATTCGCGCTCTCTTCCCGAGACCACTGTGAAGCCATTAACTTTCTCCCTCTGAGCTGTTCTTAACTGCATCTTTTGTGCCTTCTTCTGGGACAGTCCAGGCTTAGGTCTCTTTACGAAGTTCTCCCCTTGCTCCCTGCCAGTGCCCTTTATCGTTTTTCCATTTTGTGCTGTTTTGTGGAAACACATGCATGTTTTGTTTCCTCTGCCTATGTCCTTTAAGATCTAAATTACATAACCAGAGGTGACCTTATGTCTGAAGCATGTCTTAGTTTGCTTTTTATTACTGTTATAAAACACCACGACCAAAAGCAACTTGGGGAGGAAAGAGTCTATTTCAACTTAAAACTCTCAGGTCACACATTATTGAGGGGAATCAAGAAAGGAACCCAAGGCAAGAACCTGGAGGCAGGAACTGATATTACTGTTACAACACACCACAACCAAAAGCTACTTGGGGAGGAAAGAGTCTATTTCAACTTAAAACTCTCAGGTTGCACATTATTGGGGAATCAAGAAAGGAACCCAAGGCAAGAACCTGGAGGCAGGAACTGAGGCAGAGGCCGTGGCAGAATGATGTTTACGGGCTTCCTCCTCGTGGCGTTACTCAGCCTTCCTTCTTATGTTCTGGACCCCAAGTCTAAGGGGTCGCACGGCACACGGTGGCCTAGGCCCTCCCATGTCAATGTTTAATCAAGAAAATGCCCTACAGACTCGCCTACAGGCCAGTCCTATGAAGGTATCTTTTCAATTGAGGTTCCTTCTTCTCAGATGATTTTAGCTGTGTCAGTTGACAAAAAAACACATGCATGCACACACTTTCACAGCAACAAAAAAACCTATCACAAGGCAGTTTTTCTGCCCTAAATGGTCATTCTCTACACTGCTAGTTTTTGTTTGTTTTGGTGGTTGTTGTTGTTGTTAAATATCAGTACCATTAATCACAGCTACTGAACTGAAGTCACCATGGACAAGGTACAGATCATTAAGTTTGTTTTGAATTGTGTGACATTGGTAGTTTGGATGTAATTGACACCCATAATCTCACAAGGAGTGGCATTATTAGGAGATGTGGCTTTGTTGGAGTGGGTATGGCTTTGTTGGAGGAAGTGTGTCACTCTGACAGTAAGCCTTGAGGTTTCCTATGCTCAGGATACTGCCCAGTGTCTCAGTCAACTTCCTGTTGCCTGCAAGATGTAGGACTCTTAACTACTCCTCCAGCACCATGTCTGCCTGCATGCTGCCATGCTCCCCACCATGATGATAATGGACTGAACCTCTGGAACTGTAAGCTGCCCCCTCAATTAAATGTTTCCTTTATAAGAGTTGCTGTGGTCATGGTGTCTCTTCACAGCAATAAAAACCCTAACTAAGACAGTGACCTATAGTTCCTCTCTGATTAGTCCAGGGCCATAAAAATCAGGACTCTATTGTTTAATAATTGGGCAGATGATCCAGTCCTACCAAATATAAACAGGCAGTACCTGTATACAGTCCATTCATGTTTCCCAGTTTATTATATAACAGGAACTGTACTTTGGGTTTGTCGTGGGCTTGGATCTTATCCTCTTAAAATGCTCCGTGTAGCTTTGAAAGTGGAAGGGTGATGGGGAAAGTCATTTGCCACTGCCATCTGTTGATGAAGCACTTCAAAGCTAAACAGGCTATTTTAATAATAGTGGGCAGGGACATGAGACTAGGACACCTGAGCAGTTATTGGCTCTTAGAGGAGGTGAGTGTGAGTTCCAGGCTGCCAGGCTGAGACAAGTCATTGTTGGCCCCGTGTCTTGTTGGGTAGCCTGTTGCTGCATTACCATGGGAGCAGAAGTCTGAGCCTTGCTTCTCCAGTGTCTCCATGGTGGCGTGGCATCGGAGTTTGGCTTGGTGAAGTAACAATTCTTATCTGGACAACTATAAGCAGAAAAGCCAAGGACACATGGTAACAAAAGCTTGTAGGAAAAGCTGGAGTGGAATTATGATTCTGGTGACACATACGTCTTAAGAAGTAGATTCAGAATTAAGATAAATTATTCTGTTTAGTATACAGTGTATGTAATATCACTAAATATTATGGAGACAATTGGCTCTCACATTAAAAAAAAAAAAACAGTAACTAGAGTCTTTTACTGTAAAAGCAGCCTACACATGGAAAACAAAATTTATGAATTAGAAGCAAATACAGGAAATTCTTCCAGCAACACCAGAGCAGGATGGACATCTTTAGACACAGAAAGCAAGAATTAGTAAGAAAATGGGAAAAGGCAAACATGAGTTTAATGTCACTTGTTATCATCTGTGTTGCTGTAAGTGAATACCGCAGGCTTAGTAATTTACAAAGAAAAAATACTTCATTAGCTTATGATTGAGGAATATGGGAAGTGCAAGATACAGCTGCCTCTGGTGATATCCCTCTTGCTCGTGGGGGCTGCAGAGTCCTCAGGCAGCAGGAGTGGGGTGGGGGTCGTGCACATTGGGTGAGGAACTGAGCTCCCTAGCTGTAATCTGTCCTCTTCCAATAAAGAACACTCTTCCTGGATTCAGTCCCCACTCCTCTGGCCTCATTTAACCTTAGTTTCCTCCTGAAGGTCCCACTTCCAAACACTGTACTGTGGTGAGTTTATTTTCTTTATACTTCATGATGAAGATTACATTTCAGCACGAGTGTTGGTAGGGACCCAGAAACAGCACTGCCATGATGAATTACAAAAATGTGGTCACTTAGCAGGAGTTCACTGTCTTGCAATCCTAGAGGACAGAAGTTTGAAATGGTCTCACTGGGGTAAAACTAAGGTGCAGATCGATTTTCTTCTGTAAATCTCTAGGTGAAAACATTTCTTTACTTCTTCTAGAGGCTACCAGCTTTCCTTCACTCGGCCATGCTGGTCTCCGAAGTGTTTCTGCTTCCCATGGCTTATCTCTAACCTGCCTTGCTTTAAGCACTTTGTAATTATACTTCGGATTACCTCAGTAATCCAGATTAAGATCCTTAAGTCATGTCTGTAAAGTCCCCTCTGCTGTATTCACTGACTTCCGCATTAGGATGATGATACGTTTATGTTGTGGATGGTTAGGCATCAATTGCTCAGCCTGCCACAGTAACCTACAAATTGAAAGAATAGGCTTCAGTATTAACTTTTAAGCTTCTGTGCACAGAATACAAGGAGAGTTCTTCAAAGGAAGTGAAAAAGTCAACAGAGGCTATAAACCCACCATTTATAGACACGGAGAACATGACTTAGGTCATACAAAAGATTAAACCTCAAGGATGATCATAGGAATACAAATTGGAACAGTAATGAGATATTGTTACCTTACTTTAGATACACGCACTTAAAATGTGACAACAGCAAAATTTGGTGTAACTGCAGAATTTTTGAAAATGTAGTTGGTGGACAGGAATTCACTGCCTTACCATGGTGGAGGCCTGCAAGTTAATGTGATTATTCACATGCAGCTAGGGGAAGAAGTACAGTTACAGTGGGGGCAGTATGAAGGTGTGTGTTGTAATACTGAGAGAGAAACCAGTAGCACATTCAAATTTGAGAAAGTATACAGCATAGCGTTAGCAGCAGGCAGCTGTGCGCATGAACAGTGGAGTTCCAAACACTGCAGGCAGGAGAAGCAGCCCACCACTAGGAACTCCGAGTTTAAGTTTAGGTATACTCAATACATTTCATTTACTTAAATTTTTGATACAAAATTTTGTATATTGAACTCTCTAATGTTGGCCAAGCATTATATACCAGAAATCTAGGTACATGGAGGAAAGGGGGGGTAAGTAATCTCTAATTTTAGTTAGCCTTTTACTAATTTTAAACAAAAGAAATTTAGAAGAATATAAGGGTTTAAATGTGATATGTGATCACATTGAGTGGCTAAATGCTAACAGACTCTCTTAGAATTTTACTATTTCCTGTTATTCACGTCATCCAACTTGACATAATATTTAATAAATATTTTCTATTATCAAAAATTTTGTATATTTTTAAATACTTCATTATATGTTGCATTAAAAAATGAGACAAGTTTGATAGTTTCATATTCAAGGAAGTTTAAATACTAGTACCCTGATTTGATCATCTTACATTGTACGTACAGTGAACCTAATAAATACGTACCTCATTTGCCAATGAAAGTTAGAAAATACAAATGGAAAATCAAGATCATACTTTTTGGACCTTGGATGGATGGTCATGGTATTTGCTCGTTTTGAAATGAAGTATAACTTATCTGAAAAGGGGGATGCCCACATGGAATAGTGAAGCTTAGTTTTCTAAGATAGTGCAGAGGGCTCTGTAGGAAGGGTGACTGTTGGCGTCTGTCTCAGCTAGCTCTTGGCTCAGCTCTGACGCCACCATTGACACTTACCTGAATGTACCCAAGTATGTGGTTTTTCTCTAGGTCTCCACTTTCTGAGCTACTCAATGTGAGGATGAAATGAGCTGGTGCTTCAGCCCGGTAGTGCGGTGCTGAGCGATGGGGTAGCAGCCCACAGACAATGGTTAATTCGTGTTCATCCAAAATTAGGACTCGCTAGGCTGAAGGTGTTAATAGATTTTTGTAGCCCAGAGGATATCATATTAGAGTCTGTTTAAAGGTTTATGAGCCTTCTGTTCGATTATTGTCATTTCATGTAGCTTTTACCAGTAGTTTGGCATTTCTTTGGAAGTGACTGGTGTGTAGGCCACATGTTATAGTTCATGTCACTAAGTTAGTTTGGCTGCACTTCCTTTTAAACTGGATCATTGGGCAAATATTTGAGGAGCTTAAGCTGTTGTGCTGTACAGATAGAACTGTTCTCGGTGTCTAATACTTCCTAAGTAAAAAAATGTTGTTTACAGCCTCACCAGTTAGTAAGCCTTGGGTCCCAGTCAGCACATTTTCCTTGGAAACAGTGATTTGAAAGCTAAAGAACTGACATATACAGTGTCCAAGTATGTCATATATTGGTTCTTAGGAAGTTAACATTGGCACTGAGACGTAAGCTTCTTATACACTTACACTGAAGGTCTGACGACGTGATTGCAGTTCTTCTAGCAGAGTCCATGCACCTCGGTCTCAGACCTTCAGGTATAGTGGGCAGGTGTATTTGTATGGAGAAAGTTGGGATCTTCGATGTTCACCAGCTGAGCATGGAGAAGCTCCGTGCCTCAGGTAACCTCACACTTGCTGCCTGCTGGGGTTTGGCATCATAAAATGATTGGTACCCAGAACATTTTAGAGCAGTAGCAGAGAGATTAGGAATACAGCTTTGGGGGCCATGGACCCCTTCCCTTCCTCTGTGACCTGTGCCTTGACCCCTCAGCTGCAGAGTGTGGATGAAAATAGTACCAGCATCAAAGGCAAACTAAATGTGGATTCAGTTCCATATCCCTAATGTGAATATAGTTTCGGATTTGGACTTTTTCACATTTAAAAAAGAATCTATAGTTTTTATATATGGTGTTTGAGAAAGCAGTCTGAGGGTTCTAGAAAGCATTCTGTAACTAAACACATTTCTGTTTCTAGAACGAAATTTATGCATCAATACAAGCTGGATAAATATTATAAATATACTTTGTTTATTCAGGTTAAATTTGTTGTCAAATAAGTTAGGGAGAAAATTGGTTTTAGACCCTCATTATCATAGAAAGATGAATATATACTTATATATACTGAGTTAGACACTTAGAGCAGTAATAACAAACAAGCACTTACAAAGCAATGGTAAATATTACTATTATTATCTCAACATATATGAATTGATGGGACAAGGAGGAACAGTGTTTTTTTTTTCTAATTTAAATTTTCACTCAAATGAATTATTCAAACATTCTTTTTCTTTCATAACCTGCCCACACACTCCTCTTTGAAACTGTATCCACTTTGCATGGCTTAGACTTGACCTGGCAGGAATGTCTTGTTACTGCTCACTCCTAAGAGGAACCTTTAGCCCCGAGTGGTTGGCTCTCTGCTAATTTAACATGGACCAGAGCCATGACATTTACAGAGCTCAATTTGTAATTAAATTCTTGTGGTTTCTATTGTTCTTATAAAATACGGACTCTTCTGTCATCTTCAGTGTTGAATACTTATTAACTTTTGTATCTTGCTATCTTCAAATTTGGGAAATGCATCAGCACATAGACGATTTTTAAAAATATTTCTTGAACACTCTTTCCGAATAATAGTCGCCTCCATAATCTCATAATCATGTCCCGGTCAGCACCGTGTTGCCCTTCCAAATCTTCTAATGCTTTGAGTACACGTGCGAATCAGTTTTAAGTATACATTTACATATATTTATAAAGGAAACATTTAAATTGAAACAGTCCAAAACTTAATAACTCACACATAGACATGTCTGCTGTATCAGACCTCCAGAAGAGGGATCTTTGAGTCTGGAAACAATGGGTGCTCTCAAGTGAAAAGTGTGCCAGGCTGGACTAGATGATGCCCTTTGACTGTCCGAAGGGAAGTGGGTCATTTCCCCACTTGGCTTTGTTGGGTCATCTCTCTTATTTGGGTAATGCTGCTAGGCTGTACTGTGCTGCCACTTGCTCTCTTTTAAGGTATCCTTTATTGATTCATATAAACTGTTAAAAACCCTTTAAAACATTATCTCAGTTATTTGGTACATTTTTCCCTCCATTTCCCTATATCATTTTAAATAGAGAAATCATTTTTGTGCCCTCAGACTTTCCATCTTCTTTAAGATAAATTTCTGTCAGGCTGCGGTGGCACATGCCTTTAATCCCAGCAGCACTCAGGAGGCAGAGCCAGGCGGATCTCTGTGATTTGAGGCCAGCCTGGTCTACAGAGCGAGATCCAGGACAGGCACTAAAACTACACGGAGAAAGAAACCCGGTCTTGAAAAACAAAACAAACAAAAAAGATAAATTTCTAAGATGTTGACTTGCTAGAGCAAAAGATTTGATGAAGTTTGAGCTTAAAAATAGCCTTTTCAAAACTGCCTTAGCAGGTATCTTTGAAAGTAGAAGGGCTGGGCAGTGGTGGTGCACACCTCTAATCCCAGCACTTAGGACACAGAGGCAGGTGGATTGTAGTGAGTTCGAGGCCAGCCTGGTCCACAGAGTGAGTTCCAAGACAGCCAGGGCTGTTACACAGAGAAACCCTGTCTCAAAAAAAACAAAAACAAAAGGACAAGGGACATAGATACTACCCCTGCTTTACTTAGAATAATGCATAGAATTTAAATTACATTCTCTCATAGGCTTTTAACTTTTTTCTTATGGGTTACAAATCTCACTACATAACTATCAAACTTTTACTGTCAGTCACCTTTTGCATAAGAGACTCTTTCCTGGAGAGAGTTCCTGATGGTTGGTTCTGAACCCTTTCCAGGCTCCTTGCCTGTCTGTCTGCCCTTCTCCCTCAACCATAGCTCACCAAATAGATGTGTGGATAGAGGTCAGCTGAAATGACCTTTTTTTAAAAACCTTTAACATAAAGATATTGAAAAAGTCTCAACAATCAATCCAGAAGTTTCTTTTGGACTTTAATTAGCTCATTTTTAATCACTTTTATTACGTCAACTATTGGAATACTTCTAATTTTTAGTTTGTAGATATCAGGGGAAACAACCAGAGAATTGAGAACCTGGTGACTAGTGATGAATTTCTCCTCCTAAGCCAGTACGTTGTGTTCGTGGAGGGAAGGACCAATGCATCTGGGTAGTAGTTCACTTTAAGTTTGTGGTCTCTGCACAGTAGATGATTGCTGACTTCTGCTGTCTTCTGATACCTAGCTCTGCACAGTCTAATCCAATGTGCTAGCCACATGGTTATTTAAGTTTAAATGTAATTAAATGGCTCTAGCTCATTGTCAGATGAACTACATTCTAAGTGTACAATAGCGACATACCTCTACTAGAGCCATATTGGATGGGGCAGATCTATACACTACTTCGGTTGCTACAGAAAGTTGTGGAAAGAGTACAAGACTTGCTTTCTAGGCCCTTGGGCTCATCATGTAAGAATACTTATGTATTCTCTGTGTCTAGCGTTGAGGCCCTGTAGGGGTTTCCCCCTTCCACGTTAGCATGTCTGTTGGTGGTGTTTGGGCTTGTTCAGGCAGCCACGTCGATGAAACTACAGGAACTGAAGAATGCTGAGAACAGGAGAAAGAGTTCCCTGGGTAGTGCTCCCAAATGGGTTATCTAATACCAAGATAGCAGCCTTGAAATCATATTCATACAAGTAACATTATACCGACCGAGCAGGTTATATTTCAGAAGTATAGTACATCCCTTTCAGTGAGACCTATCCCCTCATGGACCAATCTAGCAGGAGGTTCTGAAGTAATATGAACCATGAGATTAAATTCCTTACTCTTCCCTTCAGCCATCCCTCGTCTTCCATCACTCAGTCTTTCTGTTCATTGGGGCTTTCTGTGGTGCCCATAAGCAAGTTCCTAGACCCCTATGCTGGTTCTCCACATTATTGTTTCTAAAGTGGAATATATATACCCACCTTGTCTGCACTTTGTTGACATTTACTCCTCAGCCCTCAGCCTGGACTCTCTCCTCATGGGACACACCAGGAAGACAGTTCTCATCAGGTCACCATCATATCCTCACTGGCCAGCCCACACAGCCTCACCGCTGCCTCTGACTCAGCAGCGTTGTCTTGTAGTGTGAAGGGCTCTCTTCTCCTGGTCAGTCTGTCGTCCCTCCCCACCTGTCTCCACCTGTATATCACTTGGTACAACGATAGTCTCCTCCTGGTCTCTTCTCTCAACTCGGGCTTTGGTTATTATACAGCTTCTGGAACTTTTCAAAGGCACCAGGGCCTGCCTCTGCAGTCGGTGTCAGGGTCCAGCATATGTCCCACGTGTCTCTCTCATTTATCCTTCTTCTAGTCTAGGATGAAGACTTCCAATTCTAATATGTTCCTAGGTCTTGTGCAGGGTTTTTCTACAGATTTACTTGTAGGTAACAATATGTTCACCAGTACTTCCAGTCATAATTTTTACTTTTAAGATGTGTGTATGCATGCACCTATGTGGGCAACAGAAGCCAGCGGTTGAGTGAAGTACCTTCCTTTTATCGCTTTCCACCTTGTTGTTAAGACAAGGTCTCACCGAACTCAGAATTACCGGTTGTCTAGACTGGTTGGTTGGGCACAACAAGCTCCAGTGATCTCTCTGTTCCCACTCTCCCAGCACCAGGGTTACGAGTGTGTGCTGCTACCAGGCTCAGCTTTTGTGTGGGTGCCAGGGATCCAGATTCAGGTTCTTAGGATTGCACTACAGATACGTTACTAGTTTAGCCCCCCCCCAACTCCACCTTTGTGCGTCCTCTCCCTGTGTGTCCATTTGTTTGCCTTAGCATACCTACTTTATCACTATTACAATTTTCCTGGTTTTGCCTTGTGTCTAAATTACACCCCACCCCCACCCCCTGCTCCACATCATGTCTGGTTCTCTTTCTGTTTAACTGCAAATATTCTACCAGTATATTGGCACTGTTACTTCCTATCTCTCTATTCTTTATTCATGCTGTTGCCAGGTAAATTTCCTCATGGCCATATTAAGAAAACCCCACAAAACACATATGTATATAAATACATTCACAATAATTACCAATATGTTTCTGAATAAACTATTACCAGGGTTCAAAATAAAAAATCCTCAAAAGGTGTCTAAGTAAAAGCTTTTGTTCCTCTTGTGCCCTTTGCATTCTTAGACACAGTCTCGGAAAAGGCAGTATTTTTTTAGACAAAGCTTAATGCATATACAAGTACATGTTTATATGTATGAATTTTCCTTTTTCCATATGCCCTGTGACATATGCTATTTTATCTCGTCTCTCTTTCCTGACTCTGCAAACTTTGTCTTGGTGATCTCTAAAGTGCTTCTCGTTCTTTGCACAGCTTCCTAGGATTCCTCTGAGTAACTGCCTTATTTATTGAACCAGTTCCCTCTTGAGTTGGACATTTAAATGATTCCCATGCCTTTGCCATCCCAAACACCTCTGGGGACTGACTCACAAGTCACTTCCCTCCACTGCAAGTGTATATCCAGGTCATTTGGGAGCGAGCCAGTTGGTTGTGATGTTTTATTTCCTTTCTTAAAAATGTTTCAGTTGGCTTACAAAGTAGCAGGTGTCCCTGTGACATTTTTCCTGATGCTTAGTTTTAGTTGACCCTTCTCCAGATTCCCTCCTCCACCCTCCCCAAGCTCTTCCACCTCCAGTATTTCCCCTTTCACTTTACAGCACACGTGTTCTGTTACCATTCCTACCCTCCACTTTGAAGCCTTTTTTCCTCTTGAAGCTAAGAGCCTGTATTTACTCACACTTGACCAGCCACAGTTCTGGCTGCTTGGATACTGCTTCCTTTATATTCAGTTGCTTCATCAAGTCTTAGTCCTTGACTCTGCCTTGGCAGTCAATCTGTTCATGCCCGTCAGCACAACGGGACATGAAGACAATCCGTGAGCACATCAACACCTTTCCTGTGGGACTTGTGTTCTTGATGGTTGGTTCTGCTGACTACTCCTCTAACTACACCCAAGCATGTCTGTGTCCCCCCTGTACACCCTTTACATGTCTGCTTTGCACAAAGCACCTTCCTTCAACCTCCCCCCACCTCAATCTGTTGCATCTGTTCAGTCATGAGCCATCACATCCATGCCTTGTCATTGAGTCTTCTTCCTGCTTTTCCTGAGTACTCTCATAGGCCCTGTTTGTTTATTTTTGTACCATATGTTGCACTATGCTATTACTATAATTCTTCTAACTTATCTGCTGGTTAATAATGCCTCCAACACAGAGGTGTGGTCTTGTTTTGGTATCTCATTTCTCAAGTCTCTCAGCTATCATGCATATACTAATGAGCAAAAAGAATAGCATTGCTTTTATTGTCCTACATGAATTACTTTCAGTGAGAAAGTTGCCTTTGTGTGCACATTCTAGCTATGTTTTAAATGAAGAGTGCCCTTTCTCTTGAGGATGTATTTGAGACTAGGTTTCTTTCAGGTGTGCCCACGCCTGGGATGATGCTTTTTCTCTTTTTGTATGTTAGGTTTTTGAAGAACCTTCTGTCAGCCTTTTTGCCCTGGAACACTGTGAGGGAAGAGAGTTACATCTTGAAGATGCTGTGAATTCTGTTCTGAACAAGGACCTACACTTCTACACCCAGTCTGTGTGGATAAAGAGTGGACTGTGAGTACGGGAGAGGGCTCAGCTCAGTCTGGGTTAGTCACTGACTTAGGAGAGCGCTGATCGGGTGCCGTTTCCCCACCACTGCTGCCTTAGCCTGCTGGTGCTCCGTTCCTGTTGCTCTTGATAGAGTAGGAGCTTCTGTCTGAAAAGGAGAAGGTGGAGCCATGCCCAATATATGATGTTATGCAGTGATCTGGGACAAAGAACCCTTTGGGGAGGAGGGCTAGTACCCCAGAGACATTGATCATAAAGCAATACCACCAGGTAGCTTTCCTTACTTGAACTTCACTTCCCTTTCAGGGGAAATTTCATGAAATCATCGATTTTGACTGTGAATAGCACTGCCTGTGTAAGGCAAGTGACTATTTAAAAGACTAAGATGGTTTGATTTTACTCTGACCTGACAGCTTGTTCATCTGAAAGCACTCCCTACTGGCATGTTCATTTTCATATGGACCACACTGGTTGATGCATGCTACCTTCCAACGTTTCTGTTCATTTCTGTTACTAGTCATAGAGTGGAGCTGGGTTGTAGCTAGAGTTTTCCTGTCTGGCCCACAGTCAGGACAAATCTCTGACACCCGCCAGTCCCACAGCCATTCAGACCCGACCAAATAAACACAGAGACTTATATTGGTTACAAACTGTATGGCCGTGGCAGGCTTCTTGCTAACTGTTCTTACAGCTTAAATTAATCCATTTCTATTAATCTATACCTTGCCACGTGGCTTGTGGCTTACCAGTACTTTATATCTTCCTTGTCCTGATGGCGGCTGGCAGTGTCTCCCTCACCCAGCTTCCTGTTTTCTCCATTCTCCTCTCTGTTAGTCCCGCCTATACTTCCTGCCTGGCCACTGACCAATCAGTGATTTATTCATTGACCAATCAGCAACACATTTGACATATAGACCATCCCACAGCACTGGGTTGCACAGGCCTTATGTGTTCACACTTTGGGAAGCAGTCTTTAAAAAGCATTCTTATTAATGTACAAATTAGGCAATACTTGAGCATCTGTGTTTAAAAGAGGTGGTTGAGAGGCCTGTAGCTGAAGCTTTCTTTCCTGGGAAATCTCCTGTACATCTCTGAGAGTATGGCACAGGAGCCAGCTCCTGCTCTTATACTGCTAGATTTTCAACCAAAACTCAACTATGAAAACATGCATAGGTGTTGATAGTTAGTATAAAAATGGCTTTTTATTGCTTATGGCTTTTAAATTGTGTGGTAATTAGCTGTTTAAATATATGGGGTGATCAATAAAGTCAAGATGATAAATAGAAAATTAAGTCAACTATTACAAAATGGCTTTTACATAATACACACGTACAACAATTTAAGTTTTCCTCTGAAAAGTATTTCTCATGGTTTGGCCTTTATTAAAATTAATTGGTTTGCTGTCTTAGCATACGACTCCAGAATATTACTTTCTAGTGAACTAGTAGCACTTGAGTTGCATTTCAAAACCCTCTGTTAAGATTTTCATGTTTTTTTTTTTTACATATCTAAGTTAAACTGATATTTGATACACTGCCAGAGTTCTCACCTTCCTATTTTTATTCCTTTCTAGAAAATGTGTGTTTTTTTCATCTTGACAACTATATTCTTGGTAGCTTTTTATCTACCTACTATTTACAAGTCTCCCCAGTAGAATTGCTGGGCAGATTCAGGGACAGTGGATCTGTTTAAAGCCCTTCCTGGGTGGGCTACAGTGGGTTTCCAGGATACCATTCATGCTGAACCACCTAGTCCATGACAAACTGTGCACTGTTGCATCTTGGACCTTTTCCATGTGTGGGATTCATCTGTTAAACACTGGAGAGGTGGCTCAGCATCTCTGCGCATCGTGACCTGCCTTTGCACATGGTTGACTGGATTTGTGCAGGCAGCTGTAACAGGTCAAGGGAGGTTGTCTATCCCACTGCCTCAATATGCCCATAATTTGGCTAAGCCTGATCTGAGTTGTGGGAAAAAGAGACTTTTCCTCACAGCAGTCAGTTTTGAGTCAGGAGTCTACTCAAGCTTTTTAGATTGAATAAATCAGGCTTTCCTCAGTTCCTCCCTCCTGCCTACAACTTTATGTAGGAATTGGTGTCTTTTCCTGCACTAGCCAATGCCCCTCTGTGAGATAAACAAATTTTCTTCTGTAAAACTGAAAGACATCACTGCTATAGCAGCAGTGGCTTCCTGCCACTATAAAATGACGGCAGCCCTTAAACTCAGAAAAGGTTTGTTTGGTTCTGAAGGTTCTAGTCTGAGATCAGAATGCTTCATGCCTTTGGATAGCATACCAGGATAGGAATGTGAGTTGGAGAAGAACCAACACCATGAGCCAAGAAGCAAAAGGAAGGGACCAGGGTAACAATGTCCCTTAAAGGACCTCCTACCAAGTGCCACATCCTGAAGGTTCAGCTACATCCCAAGTAGTTGCAGACTATATCCTGCAGACCAGGTGCTTCACATGGGACCTTAGAGGACGCTGGTCCACACCACAAACCTTGAGAGAACCCGTTTTGGGGAACGCTCCCCCCTGATGCACAGGCATACTTTCTTTCCTGCTACTGGTGTGCTCTACCTCATCTCCTGGGTTAGACTGATGGGATTGTTGGATAGCACATACTGCACTTCCAGAGTACCGTCTGAAGCAAGCCTCACCCTCCAGTCTTGAAAGTGTCTCAGAGACCTTGAGTCTCCCTTAAAATTTTGGGTTCTTCTGGCAGTTCTAGTGTTTAGTCACCCAGTTTGGCAACTAGTGAACACAGGGCTGAGAAAACTGTCCTGTCAAGGACCAGAGCGTGCTTTTAGTTGTGGGCCTCCTGTCTCGCACTTAGGAAACTGTCACCCTGGTTTAAAAGCAGCCACAGCCAGCATGGAAAGAAATAGACATGACTGTGCACAAGTAATATCCTGGTTCTCACTCAACGCCCTGAGCACTTTTACACACTTTTACACAAGCAGGGTTGAACACAACAGTGTTGAACACCACAGTGTTAGGGAAGATTTGCAAAGGAGCCATCTTAAGAGTAAATGGGGAAACCTCTCTGAGTAGTTCTTGGTAGCCTTGGGAAGTTGTGGGCAGAGTTGTAAAAGAAGAAATGTCTAGAGAGGTATCAGCTGTCTGGAGAAGCTCCAGCATATGTGACAACCTGAGGAAGAATGTTTCCTCCTGAGTAATAGTGGGAGGCCAAGATATGTGTTTCAGTGTTAAAATGCTTTGAGATTTGCTCTATCAAAGGAATAGAGACTTTCAGAGTTGAGGGAACCTCGTTCATTTTGGAAGTGCAGGAGGTGGACATTTCACACTGACTCCACATGTAGTCGCTATCTTCTAGGCCTCTACCGAGAAATGTGTGATTATATACTTTTGAAATCTACAGACATCAAAGCTGTAAAGCACATGGTGTAACAGTTGTTTTTAATAAGAGGCTACTTTTGTTGTTTGCAATGTCCCATGGTATTCTTTTTTGCTTTCTTGCAGATGGATAGCTTATGAAGGATCCAATTTCTTGGGAAGGCAAATCCTCCTTGTGCCTAATGAGATCCCAAACTGGACAGCATTCAGTGGGTGGAAAACGATTGGTTCCATCCGCCCTATGAAGCAGGTAAGAAGTAGAAAACTAACGTATTAAATAGCTTTTCTGGCAGAACACAGTATCTAAAATACTGACCAGTTGGTCACTTATGTAACCAAGGGGGAGGTTTTATTCTTATGCAGGAATAATTTCTTACACATTTTAGCCAGTTCATAAAATTTTATTTACAGTCAATATTGGGTTTTAGTGTTAAATCCAAAGTTCCATCAGCCATATTTTTTTCACAAAAGTTAAAACTAAATTCTGTAGTAGAAAAATGATCCTTAATTACGAGTTTTACTTTCTTTGCATTTGGATTTTTTCTTTACGTAATCTTCAGGTTGAATCTTGGCAAGTTAATTAAAGTAGTATTTATCACACACCTACTGCTTGTCAGTTTTTATGTTCCAAAGCTTCCACTGCGCTAGGATACAATCTGTGTTCCTTGTGGGACCTGACTCCTCCTTGCCTCCCAAGCCTCATCTCCTCACTCACATGCACCCAAGGACAGAGGGCTTTTCCAACCAACCTGATAACATGGCTGTGCCCTCTATGTAGAATGTTTTCTCATTCTTTGCCAAACTAGTTCTTAACCATTCTTCCAATACAATGTGCCAAGTCCTCCCAAATGCCTTCCCAGTCCCTCCAGTCTAAATTAAAATCCTCAAAGACTTTGATTCTTTTTCTACAAGACATTGTATGTAGCTTATAACTGCACCAGTCCAGATGAATTGGACTTGTTCTTACTGTTAGAAACCACTTCTGAGAGGTTGCAGGGCCTATTTTACTTATTGCTCTATCTCTAATACCTGTCACAATGGCGAATAACTAAGGGCTCAGAACTGTTTGTTCAATAAAGGGATGAATATATAAGTGAACAGATGTTTAGTGTCCTCTAAGAAATGCTAGGTACTAGCCCAACACCATCTGTCCCTTAGCTGCAGTTTTGGATTAAACATGCCCAACTCATTTGATCCCCAGCACCCACATTAAAAACCAAGCATGGGATTAAAGGCGGAGGCAGAGGCAGGCGAATCTTTGTGAGTTTGAGGCCAGCCTGGTCTACAGAGCGAGATCCAGGAAAGGCGCTAAGCTACACAGAGAAACCCTGTCTCGAAAAACCAAAAAAAAAAAAAAAAAAAAAAAAAAAACCAAGCATGATGGTGCACATAGGTAATTCCATCAAGAGGAAGTGGGGGCAGGAGAGTCTCCTAGCCAGCTTCCCTAGAGCAGTGAAGTTCCAGGCAAGTGAAAAACCATCTCAAAAATAGACGACACCTGAA